CCCCCACTGTCAGCAAGCTGTCCTGATTCAGCCAGCCTGACTGACACGCTGGAGATCAAGGCTCCCAAAAGCACCACATCCTGATTCTTCCCACTTTTAACAGTGCTTTATTTAAAGAACCCAGGAATGGCAGGGCTCTCCCCTAGAATATCAATCAGCACTGCTCCCCGAGACTCCGGAATTCTCCCCTGGAAGAAGAACACTCATGAAGTTGCAGACCACTAACCAGACATACCTGAATTAATGCATCAGCTGTATTTTGAGATACCTTCAGCTTTTAGCAATCCTTCCCTGCCCACTTCCCTGTGCATTTTCTGGTTTCTTTCCCAGGGCACAGAACTGCAATCCAAGCGTTGTGCCCAGCACTAACTGGGCTGCAAGCCCAGGGACCTGCACTTTATTCCACTGACACTCACCCATTTGTGGCCTCTGGCAAGTCACTTTCTTTCTGTCCTTCTGTTTCCTGCCTGCCTACAGAATTCCAAACTCCTCTGGGAAGTGACCCCAGACTCAGCAGGCAAAGGGCTTAGAACTACCATGGACTGGGAGCACTACCTGCTGCATCTGTTAACATTTGGTATTGAAAGGCCTTTGCTGAGGTGAAATGAGGCAAGTGTCATATTAACATTTGCCAGAGCAACCTGAGTTCTGCCCTGGGCTGGTCTGAGGAGGCAGAGCACTGTAAGGAAGAGCAGCAGTGAGCAGGCAGAGCAAAGCTCCAGTGCCTACACACACTCAGGTGAACTTGATGGGCAACCCTAAAACTCAGCTCCCCTTCAAGCTCTGCAAGCCAGTTATGGTTACTCTGAAGATGCTCCTGTACGTAAGCTCCTCTTTCCTACAGAAAAGGATGGCACCACTCTCCAGCAGGCTGAATGCTGCAGCCACAGAATCAGAGTCTCAGGTGAGATAGGGTTGGAAGCGACCTCTAAAGATCACCTTGCCATGGCAGGGACACCTCCCACTGTCCCAGGCTGCTCCCAGCCCCAGTCTCCAACCTGGCCTTGGGCACTGCCAGGGATCCAGGGGCAGCCACAGCTGCTCTGGGCACCCTGTGCCAGGGCCTGCCCACCGTGCCAGGGAACAATTCCTCATTCCCAATATCCCATCCAGCCCTGCCCTCTGTGATTCTGTGCTTCTATATCTGTGTCCCCAACCTGGGACATGTCACTGAACACAACCCACTGAACACAGCCCACCCCAGAGCCTGGCACAGTGCAAACACCTGATCAGGTGAGAGGAGCTGCTGCCTCAGCCCTGTCCCTGCCCCCCATCTGGCCCCTGGGTTTATTCAGTGACCTGTCCTGGTGCCAAGAATGTCCTATGGAATGTGAGCAGCAGGAGGGAGACTGTTTGTTCCAGTTTGTAACTCCCCTAAACATGACTGGAATTCCCATGGAGAATGAGAGTGCAGACCCAGCCCAAACACCTTCCCTGAGCACTTCCCAGAGCCCAGAGCAAACCACACAGGCATATGAGCATCTCAGAAAAGACTTCCAGACTCTTCTATGGGAACAGCCAGTGACCAGGTATCAAACTAGCCACACCTGTCTAGGAAAAGATATTAAATTGACAATTTTTTTTCAAAATCACCCTCTTCTCTTCCTCGTCCCTGCCAGTTAAAGTTGGTAGCAGTCAGACAAGTCTCTTTAACACATTAGCATTGTGGGTTGCATTGTTTTCTTCTCTCTCATGTGGGAATTGTGGTCTTGGACCATGAGCCAAGGCTCAAAAAGGAGCTCCCAAAGCCATGCAGCCATGTCCCTGTGAGCACATCCCCTCCTCACCACCACAGAGCTGTGGCTCTTCAAGAATGCATCCAAAAAAATAAAGGGAGTCCCAGAGACACCATCTATTGACTATAAACCCCAAAGACTGAAAATAACCAACTAGATGCAGCAGTTTTTCCTCAAGTGAGTTTTCAAAGTGCTTTCCCAGCTGGAAAGTCTAAACACCACTGTCTCCTCTTTAGGCAGGCAGTGAACAAACAACAGCTCTCAGCTGAGTCCCAGCTGGCCCCACAGATCCCTTCCTCCCAGGAAGAAAAGGGCAGGATGGGCCCTCCCCAGGAGCCCTCAGAGCTGAAGGCCAGGGCACATTCCAGCACAGCCTCACCCTCATCAGTGCCTCATCCTCCTGCAGCCCAGGCTCACTCACACACCCGGACTTTGCTTCCCACACAGAGCTGGATGCTCCAGGGCAGCCCAGGGAGCACAGCACAGCAACTGAACCACAGCCCAGGTGCTCTGCACAGGCAGCAGCTGAAATGTCACCTGGCACACAGGGCTGCCTTCACCAACACTTCTTGGGTGACCACTGGTGGCTGTGAGTAACAGCTGCCTCCAGCAAGTGACCATGGAGAAAACCTGATCAGCTTTTCCATCCCTGCAGTTTGTGATGTGCACAAACATCACAAATGTGTGTAATGTGCTGTAATGTCATATAATGTGGTTATTATGTGAACTAATCCAGGACCCCACTGCTGGGCAAGGGACTCCTCACTCACAGGTTCAGGATGGATATAATCCATGCCCCACAGAGAAGCACAGGAGAGAAAACAACACCTTCCTGTATCCCTTAAATACTGAGAAATTTTGGGAGAGGGCAGCAAACCATGCCTGCAGAGACCATGAATATAGAGGTTCCCAATGAGATAGAAATAGCAGAGGAAGATTGGAACAATGCAGACATCTGTAAGAGAGAGGGTGTAAACAGCCAGACTGGGTCACAGAGACACAGCAGTGCAGCAGTGGGCAAAGCAAAAATAGCAGGAAAGGAAAGATAAATAAGAAATTCCTAAAATATAATGAGGAGCAAACAGACTGACGAGGAAACAAGAGAGCCATTGAGTGGAAAAATGAGAAGAGACATGCAGAAGCAACGAGGGTAGGCCAGGGATTTAACCCAGCCTCAGAGGGGAAGGCACAGGGAGAAGAGAGCTGAGTTGTTTCACTGCAGCACGAGGAGGGAAGAGGAAGATGGCTCTGTCAGGAAATTACAACCATGTGCACTTAGGCACAGCAGCACTGGCCCAGCAGTCCCACATCCACTCTGCAGGACAGGGGACATGTCCAGGCTGTCCCTCCAGCAGGGCATGGCCATGGTGGATCCTTCTTCCCCTTTCCCTACCCCACCATTCACCAGCTCCCAATTCTGCTGCCTGGGTTTTGCCTCCATCTCTTTCAGCTAGATGAGACTATTTTGGGATATGAGTGTGGCAGGTAAAAAGTAATTCCTGCACAAAGATGAAAGCATTTCCTGCCCCTCCTACTGCTCCATCTCCAGTGCCATCACAGCATCTCCTTGGGAGCCAGGAGTAGGGAGCAGCTGCTTCTTGCTTTTCTCTCCCAGACTTCTGTCCATGATGTTCCCTTCTCCCCCTCTCTCCAGGACCCAGACACCACAGAAGAGGCATTTACATCCACAAAAATCCTTCTATAGCTCCAACAACATCAAGTCTGCCCACACAGTAAAGGTGTGAGCCCTCATGTCTTTTTCTCTCTTCATGCCTCACTCTGCCCTATCTTTTCCAGCCAAAAAAGTTCCCACAACAGGTGGGAAGGGGAGAAGCTGACTTACAGAAAAAAGCAAATCTCTCTTTGCACAAGGTGCTTCCCAAGCTCTGTCAAAACTACCCAACACTCAATCAGCAAGCCCAGGATGTACACAGCCTAGCCCAGAACATAGCCATGGCTGCCAGCAAAATGCAGAGCAAGGGAGCCAGGAGATGAGCCAGGAAAGCCTCAAAGTAAGTAAAACACCAACAGGCAGCTGAGCAATGACTGCAAGAGAGACAACAAAGGAGGTGACAGGAGCCTGGGAAGGAGTCTCCATGCATAGAGCTGGACTCTGTCAAGGGAAAGGCTCAGCTGCAGAGCCCAGCCTCCCCTGTGAGCAGTACACTGTGTGTACACACTGATGTGGGATGGCTGCTTGCTACTGAGATGTTTCAGCTCAGGGCTGAGGATCTCCATTCCCCACCTGCAGTGAAGTCAGTCCTGCTTCCTTTTGCAGACAGAAAGCCAAGACCCCCTATGCTAATGCCAATTGTTCACCTATCACAGAACACAGTGAAGAAAGAGTTCAGAAAAGGTAGTCTGGTTGTACTTTTTATTTTTCTTTACTAATTATCTAACATTTCTATACCCACCCAAGGTAAGTTTGGTGCTTCCAAGCCGCTGTCTGCAACCACCAATGTTGGGAACTTACCTTTCCAGTGGGAACCATGGCTCTCACCTAACACATAGCAAAACCCAGGTGGGCAGAGACCTCAGGAGATCTCTGGTGTGACCTCCTGCTCAAAGCTGAGTCTGCTCCAAGCTCAGTCCTGGTTACTTGGGACTTTACCCAAACAGCCCCAACCTCTCTTCTCTCCATTTCATGCCCACTATCTCTCAGTTCTTCTCCTGTCACCGGGATCTGCCCGGTTCCACCTTCCCCCCACGCCTCACAGCGGCCATGAACGTGTCCCCAGCTCCCTCTGGTGCCACCTCTGCCCCGGCCCTCTCAGCCCTGGGCCGGCTCTGGCTCTCCCTCCCCGGGGCTGGGGCACACACCCCAAACTGCAGGTTCAGGGTTTAAGAACCATACAGGGCTGGACGCCGCTAGAGGCTGGCGGTGCCCTGCCCCTCCCCGGCAAAGGAGGCAGGGGGAGCTCCGCTCATGGTCCCCTCACAGCGCTCACCGGGCAGCTCCCGGGGCGCGGTGCCCCCATCGCGGGCGGGACAGCGACAACTGTCTGAGCTGCTGGGCCGTGAGGAGCACCCCCGTGCCTGACAGAGCCCAGGCCGTGAGGAGCGGCCCCGCCATGCCGTGAGAGACCCCGAGCCGTGCCCGCATCCCCGCCGTGCCCGCCCGCTCTGCCCCGCCGCCTCCCGCCGCCGCCATCTCCGCGGCGGGGCCGCCCCCTGCTGGCCGCGTGCGGTACGGCCGCGCCACAGCCCCGGCCCCACGGGGCCCTCGGGGAGCACACCCGGCCCCTCGCGCCCCGCTGTACTTACTGCCTTGTGAGGCTCCTTCCCCTGAGGCAGCTTCGGTGTCTGCAAAGAGAAAAAGCAGCGCTTAGATCCGCCGGCCGCGCTGCCCGGCCCCCACCGCCGCCCCGCTCGCTCCCTCGCTCTTCTCTCCGCAGCTCTGCCCGGCCCCTCACGGGACGGAGCGGGCCCTGAGGGGCTCACCGGGACCTCGAGGGCAGACATGGCCAACAAGGGCTCGTGGTCATATAATGCTCTGGGCTGGAAGGGACATTAAAGCCCATCTCGTGCCACCCCCTGCCATGGGCAGGAGCACCTTCCACTGTCCCAGGCTGCTCCAAGCCCCAGTGTCCAGCCTGGCCTTGGGCACTGCCAGGGATCCAGGGGCAGCCACAGCTGCTCTGGGCACCCTGTTTCCCACCTCCCAGGGATCAATTCCTTCCCCATATCTCATCCATCCCTGCCCTCTGGCACTGGGATCCATTCCCTGGGTCCTGTCCCTCCATGCCTTGTCCCCAGTCCCTCTCCAGCTCTCCTGGAGCCCCTTCAGGCCCTGGCAGGGGCTCTGAGCTCTCCCTGGAGCTTCTCCTCTCCAGGTGAGCATCCCCAGCTCTCCCAGCCTGGCTCCAGCCCTGGAGCAGCTCTGTGGCCTCCTCTGGACACAATTTTTTAATTGTGCAAGGCAAGTGCTGTGAACCCAGGAAAGCAAACGGTGAACAGTGCACCTGGCTCAGCTCCCATGGGATTTGGCACAGCCGGCTCCACCACCGTGCCTGCCCTCCCCAGGCAGTGATGGCAAAGCCTCCACGAGAGATGGGCCATAAGAATTCCCCCAGGGCGATTCTATCCTGAAGGCAGGGTGATTCTATCCTGAAGATTCTATTGCTGAAGGCAGATGGGAAAAGAAGGGAGAGAAAGCTCCCTCCACTGTCGTGTCTGGGACTGCAAGAAGCACACAGCAGAGATCATGTTCAAGCCCTAAATGAATGCAACAGGCAAAGCTGCGAGCTGGAAAACAAACCCCGAAGTTACAAGTCAAGTATCATAAACAATTAGGATTTCCAAGCCAGTTTGAAGTGTTTAATATTCATCCTAAATTACATATACTGTATGTCACATTACCTAATAATGTAACTGCGTTGCAAAATATTCCATATGTCTGTTGGAATGATGCTTGCACTGCACTGGAAACCACAGCTGCAGAATGGCACAGCATTTTTGAATTTAAAATTTTCAACCTCAAGTAATGAGCACTGTTTGCATTTAATTTCCTTATTTCTTAAAAATAATAAAAACAAATGATTGTGTGTTTGTGAATTTGTACATTTCTACTTGATTAACCTGCCTGATTAGATCATTCTTCTAGGCAATGGTATTAATTTGGCACGACTTCATAAACTCAGGGGCCAGATCAGAAACACTCAGTGATACTGCAGAACCTTGACAGCAAAGCCCAGGATTTTTCCACAGCTGCTACTTGTTTGAATTCTCACCCACCATTCAAGGAAAAGCAGCTATGGCACAATAGATTTATGCAAAATGCTGTCCTGGTGTTCACATGCAACAGCATGAACAAACCATAAAAGATATGCACTGTTTAAATAGCTTTAAAAAGTACTTTAGTCAAATTTAACAAGAATCAGGCAACACACAAAAATCTGAGGAACAGCCATTTCTGAACTGTGTCAAGAAATGTTGTTACTCTTAGTCATAGATAGACTAAAGTATTCATGAATTTAAAAATTACCAACTAAAAATCCCCTTACAGCCCACTCTATATCACCTTTGAGGTCAGACCAAGTAATTCCAGTTGTGAAACAAAAGACAAATTTCTGAGAAAGTTGCAAAAGTCAGTAAGAATAGGGAGGTGGGCAGGAAAATGGGCCAGTTAACTCCTTTGTCCCAAGAAGCTTTCTTCATTTCATTTGAGTATCTGCTGCAGACTGGGAAATGTGCACAGTAAAATGGATGTTGGGATGTAGGGCAGAGGCCAAAAAACCTCCCCAAAATAATCTGATATTCTCAGTAACAAATAAACAAATGAACCTCAACTTTCCATGGCTCAGGAACACCATCTCTCCTCTACTAGTTTTCTACTCCTCACCTCAAAATCCTTTCAGTGACAGAACCACTTTAACTCAGACTCCAAAAAATGTGCGCTTTGGAAAAAAGCATTTTTCCATATTCACCATTTGAATGAGTCATCTTCCTTTTCATATTTTTTGAATTGAGCAGAACTCATTCTTGGAAAACATTAATCTGAAACTTGAAAAGCTTTGAGAAGTTTTTAACTGGTGAAAATCAAAACTTGGCCTGAAGAATCCAGCCCTGCTCAGAGCATCCAGGATCTGTTCTGGTGAGGGCAGCTCAGCCCTCGGCTGGCACAGCCCTGTGGGGAGGACATGGAGAGCTGAGGGGCTTGGAGGGAGGCAATGCAACAACTTATAATGTAAATAAATAATAATGGAAAACAACTTGAGCAAAATCATCAGTCAGCCCAGAAAAGCTTATCTGGAAACAGAGAACTTCCACCAATTCTTGGGTTAGAGGCGATATATCCTGCGAGGGTTAAACTCGAGCCTTGCTCTTTTCTTTCTTTGCTTTTGGAAGAATTCTCCTTTGGGTACAAATCTCCCTTGCTTGGCCTCAGCCCAGAGGTTTATAAATTTGCTGTTTGAAAGTCTAATAAAGCAATTTCAGCCTTTTTTTTTTTTTTGGTAGTTATCTAAAAGTGAAATAATTTTCCTGACTCAAAACATGCAGATGCTTTGCTGCTCATGTTGCTTAAACACGACCCAACTGTACAAAGCAGAACTTTCTAGCTGACTAACTCCTGAAGGCAATCCAAACCTTTTAATGACCTGAAAAACCCCACACAGCTAAAATAAAAGCACTGTAAGCAAAACATTTTGAAGCCCTGGGTTGCGTGTAGGCGCAGCAGTAACATTTGGGACAGAGCCTTCCATCGGCACCGGGAACGCGCAGCCCCTCCGCTCCAGCTGAACTCCAGCAGGAGAAGGAGCCGGGATCCTGCAGGGCTGCACAGCAGCTCACAAAGGAGCCTTTCAGCTCCACAACATAACTTTTTTGTTGGGTTTCTTCTTTATTTTATTTGTGAGTTTTGGGGAGGCAAAGGGGAAGGAACACAACCTTTTCCTTTGTTCCTCGGTGAAACGTAGCGGGGAAGTTTCTTACCTACGTTTCTGGTTCTTTGCAGAACCCTTACACGGGGATTTCCATGCCTGGATCTCAGCTTTTGGGGGAAAGCAGAATGGGAACTTGTTCCTGCGAGGCAGCACGTCCTGAAGCAGAGCTGCCTCAGAATTCTGCAAACTGCCAGAGCACTCGCTGCCTGAATTCTCCAGCCAATGCTCAGCACCACAGGGAAGGCTCAATAAACAAAGAAAATGCCCTGTTTTATAACATAAACTCCCCTGCTTTGAAGGCAGACAAGAAAAGAAATCAGCCTCAAGAACACGGGTCACCTCCAACGCAGCTTGTCTGCCACAGGGAGCTGGAGTGGAGGCAGGTGCAGCTATAAAAAAATCCAGAAAATTTCTCAAAAAAATGCTCATTGCAAAGAAAAATGTGACGTTGCCAGGGTGAAACTCTTCATGTGGAACTGAACAGCTCAAAGGATGAGAAGACAGTAAGTTCTGCACAGTGTAAGAGAAGCAGTGGATAAGGACAGACTGACTGCACGAGCAGAGAGGGTGACAGACCTTCCCCCTGCTGTAAGGCTCAGGTGGGCCCTGGACACAAAAACCAGCTCAGAAATAACTCAGATCAAAGCAAGGACAACTAGAGGCCCCCAAATGTTGCATTTTGTGTCACTGAGTGGTGACAGACAGGCTGATGACACAAATGTTTTGTTCTGCCACAAAGGTCCAAAGCAGATCAACACCAGTTTCTCTGCTCTCTCCTGGCCTGAGCCTTTTCTGTCTCCTGCTCTGTCACCTGCAGCACCTCCCCAGGGCCCATTAGTGACACAGGACCCACACAGACAAGCAGAGAGCAGAGGGGTTGGGGTGTATCCTTCAGCAAATCACAAACAGCAGCTATTGCTGCTGGAATGGCCAAAAAACCTAAAGAGAAGAAAGGAGCCTCAGTTTGTTCTAGCTCCTGTGATGCTGAGCTGGGGAGTCTCCCAGGATTGGGAAAGGCAGATGTTACGTGACTGATGGGTGGCCAGACCTTGGGAAAACCATGGCTGGCACCATCCTGCCAAGAGGGAATCCAGGTTCTGCCACTGCAGTCTGGCTCCCCCCTTTCTGCCCAGCCAGAAAGAAACGACTGAAAGATTCAGGACTGGAGTTTCTGGCAGCTGAGAACTGCACAGGCTGGGCCAAGGGAGCTCACATTGCAGTGCTTCGAGGAAAGCAGCCCTGGGAGAGCTGGCTGCCAGTGCCCTGGCACTGGATCTGAGACACAGACTGGAGATCCCTGGAGAACAGCAACGTGCAGTGTTGCACCCTCAGTGCAGCCATCCCACCATGTTATCCTGTTTGTCCCCTGGGGCAGCACCAGCCCCTTCTCCTCTGTGAAGCCTTGGGACAATAAAAGTATCTTTCACAAAAATCCGCTTCATTCCTGCAGTCTTCTGCCATCCCAGCACCATTTCTGGTCCAGTCCATGCACAGCTCACACTGGATAATACCACACAGGGCTTTCCTCCAAAAAATCCTTCCTTCTTTTTTCCTACCCATCCTTAACCCTTCACTGCAGGTTATTCCTCTGCAGCCAGGCACACTCTGCCCAGTGCCTCAGCTCCCTGGGAGAATCCCACTGCCTGAGCTGCATCATGTTTGCAGTTTCATTCCTTGCTGAAGAGTGTAGATGAATAAATAACTCATTTGTATTTTTATTGTCTTAAAGCAATTTGAATGCACTTTAAATGTAACTACTACATGAATCCACTTACAGTAACATAAACCAACACTTTCTAAGTATCACAGATATAAATTCTGTTTCTCCACCACTGATGTGAGAATTAGTGATAAATTTCCACATTCAGAATTTTCATCTTCTGCAACTACACAGGACAAAGACCTTGGAAGCAAAAGGTAAAGTCGTGTCCACTGAGTTCATGTCAAAACTATGGATATCAAATGTACAGGTCTATGTTGATGCACCCATATAATTTAATATATTGCTTAATTTTATTATCAAAATATAAATGAATACAAATTAATTAGATCACACACTAGGAGGTGACATCCTACTAACAGAGCTCCTAAAATTCCAGCTGAATTAAAGATCCCATGGTGCTTGGGGAAGAGAAGTAAAATAAAAGCAACTCTTGTCCCACATTTAAATACTACAATTATTATTGCAAAATTGTTGCAATGCTGTGATGTAATGGTGAAACATATCCCTGTTATTTTAGGATTTTTTCCTTAAGCTGCAGAGTGAAGCTACTTGAAGCTACGTTTAAAGGACTTTAAGGAATTTTGTTGGTATTTGGAAAAGAAATACCAGCATGGAAAAACAATTCTGTGTACCAGAAGTACAGAAGCAGCTCTGTGATATTAAACAGCACACAAGGAATATGCAACCATGCAATTAAGGATGTGTTATGAGACTGTGACAAACTCTGAACACTTCTCAGCTGTGCATGTGCTGACTTTTGAGAGTTTGAGCATTTAAAACTTGATATTAGCCTTCATTATTCCTGGATTTTCAACCACTGGTTACACCTGAGGAGCTAAAGCAGATGCTCCTGCCAGCCTGGCACAGTGACTCCAGTGCTCACCTCAGGGACAGGTGACAAACCCAGAGAAAGGCTCAGGGGGAGCTGGTTTGCAGTCCCTGCTGTTCTGGTATTTCAGAGCTCCAAATCCTGCAAACTACACTTTGATTGAATAAACCACCTCAAACTTTCACATTTCTGCAATTAAGCAACATTGGATTGCTCAGTCTTACAGAAACCCCAGATCAAGCCACTCCTGACCAAGCACGAGACCTTTCACACACACAGTGCACTTGGGAAGTGACCTCAGCTGACAGCAGGGGCACAGGGGCAGCTCAAGGAGCATTTTGATTAGAACATAAAAATACAGCAGTCACAATGCCCATATCTGATTTATATCCTCCCAGGCTAACTTCTCAGGGGTGGATGGAACTCCCAGCTGGGCAGGAGCGCTGAGCACCTCAGGGAGATGCCACCACACTGCTGGCACTGGGACCTGCCAAGCAAAACTCTGTGATCTGAGCACACAGAGATGCCCCTCAACAGCCCTGGGCAGTAAATACTGCCCTGAACACAGGAGCTGCTCCTGACCTGGGGAGAAATATTGCTGGAATTAAGAGCCACAAAGCTGAGACAGCCCCAACTTTTAACACTGGGCCCCTCTCAGTGGGAAGCCCAGAGAAGAATTACTGGTGACCAGGGAAGCAGCAGAGCAACCTTCAAGACCTTCCTGAAAATAGACCTAAAATCACAGAATATCCTGGAGGGGACCCTCCAGGATCATCCAGGTGTCCAGCCCCTGTCCCTGCCCAGATCCCCCACCCTGGGCACCCCTGGCAGCGCTGTCCAAAGGCTCCTGGAGCTCTGGCAGCCTCGGGGCCGTGCCCATTCCCTGGGCAGCCTGGGCAGTGCCAGCACCCTCTGGGGGCAGAGCCTTGCCCTGAGCTCCAGCCTGACCCTCCCCTGAACCTGCATTATCCCAGGATTCCCGAGATTGCAGCAGACTGAGATACCTCTGTGTGCTCGCACGTGGGTCTGGAAACAGTTGTAATACTTGTACTTCTTCCCACATATTCCACACTCGTAAGAGCCTGAAAAACAAGAGAGAGAAGCACACATCACCATGAGAGATCAGGGAAAACAGCCTCCCTGCACATTGGTCCATAAACTGCGAGCAAAAGGGTGCACTTGACAGCAAAGTCATTTTTGGACTGTTCATGGAGATAAATGCAGGAAATCACTCTCCCAGACACTATTCTGTCTGTCAGTCTCATTTAAGATTTCTTGGCATATTACCCTGAACTTACATTTTCAGTGTATCTTTTTAACTTTGCTAACGTGAAAGGGCCACTCTCAAAATAGCCTGACTTATAATTTTATAATAATGACTAATGTTTCCTATGGACAGAAATAACCTTGAATTACTTTTCAGTAAGTTCCTAGTAGCTGGGAAAAAATCCTTTTCAACTGAAAAAAGAAGGCAATATGTTATCTTGAGGCCTGGAGTTTTCAAAATTTCTCAAGAAATGCACAATGTACAAATTTCCCAAGAAGCCCACAGAGATTTGGTAAATATCCACCCAGAGGAAACCAAATAGATACAAATAGAACTTTTGCCCTTTTTAAGGAAAAGCACATGACCACAGTAGTCCCTCTTCTCAATTTGTGTCTCTAATTCCAGAAAACACACATCTGCAAACAGTCATTTGAAATGAAACCAGAGGAAAAGAGCTGGGAGAACCATTTGTAATGATGAAGTTATGCCATGAATTTAGACTCTTTTGTTATTGAACAGGCAGACAGAAATTTCCTTAGATTTGTTACTTGAGTTGATTCAATCTCTTTTTTTCCCACTTGACTTTGCTGCACAGTTTATAAATTCACTTTCCAGGCTCTTATTTGCAGAATGCACTGCATTTCTTAACTGTCCACCAGAGCTGTGGAACTGGGATCCCCTTGGTGCTCTTTGGAGAGAGTGAGAGCATCACTTGAATGAAGAGGAGGTGGGAGAAAAAAGGGCTGAATAAATTTGGTATGAATGCAGAATTTCATTTCCATGCACATTTCCTCACACGACCTTGAAACAATCTTTTCCTGACCATGCCAAACAGCAAAAGTCAGGGAGGAGCCACAAACAAGAACAAAACCATTGACACACACCCAGATAAACATTCCCAAATGCATTTCACAGCAATACTCACCTGGAGCTACTCAAAGTGAGCTCTAGCCAGGAACAAACCAGGGTGCAGTCTGAACACACTATGCCCACGGTCCTTTTACCCTTCCCATGTCCCATTCTTAAAAATTGGGAAGAAATCACCCCCCTGAGAGTGTCAGAGCCCTGAGCTCCCTGCCCATCACTGGTAGCACCACCTGGGGCTGTGTCCTGGGCTGGGGAGGCTCCTTTGTCACTGATGCTGAAAGAGGCCACTCGCCACAGTCCGATACACCAGAGTACCCAGCTGAAAAAATGCTCCCATATTCTGATAGCACAGGCACTGATCTGCTCCAGAGCATTTTTATTATCACAGCTCACTGTATTTTATAGAGATATCAGCTGTGGGACAGTCACCACCTGCGGTCACTCCTCACAGGCTGCCTGGTGAAACCTGGGCTGTCAGCAGGTCAGCAGCGTCTGCCAGCCCTCACTCACTCCCATGCTCAAGGACTGATTCTTTTCACCACCAACCTCCACAATTCTCTTATGAAAACTCTTGGAGCTGGAGCCCCAAAGCAGCAGATGAGAGCACTCACCATGCCCTGGGCCCTGCAAACAGGAGCCCTGAGCACAGCTGCGGTTCAGCTGAACCAACAGCAGGATGTGACTGATGCCCACCCACATCCCAGCAGTGCTGGCTGCACATGGAGCACTGGGAAGAGTGGGAATGGCTCCAGAGAAGGCCACTGAGTTAATCACAGGGCTGGAGCCCTCAGAGGCCCTTCCAGGGCCTAAAGGGGCTCCAGGAGAGCTGGAGAGGGACTGGGGACAAGGGATGGAGGGACAGGACCCAGGGAATGGCTCCCACTGCCAGAGGGCAGGGCTGGATGGGATATTGGGAATTGGGAATTGTTCCCTGGCAGGGTGGGCAGGCCCTGGCACAGGGTGCCCAGAGCAGCTGTGGCTGCCCCTGGATCCCTGGCAGTGCCCAAGGCCAGGCTGGGCAGGGCTGGGAGCAGCCTGGGACAGTGGGAGGTGTCCCTGCCATGGAGGTTCCCTTCCAGCCCAAAGCACTCTGTGATTCTGTGAGTTGGTGCAAACAGGTCAAACACAGTGAGGGGCTCTAGGCTGAGTTTTCTCCCCCATTTTTATTGTATTTCCTACTTCCTCTGGAGACAGTCTATGGCACATAAATGCACTGTGCAGCTCTCCAAGAAGGTCAGCAGTGCAGGTAACTGTGCAGTGCCTTCCCTCTGCACTGTGAACCCAAGCAGGGGCTGCAGCCCTCATGCAGGGGCTGTGCTGGACACCAGGGGCAGGAGCTGAGGGACCATGTGTGCCAGGCCAGGGCTTCTGTGCAGGTGTCCTGGAGCTGCCAGGTCTCAAGTGGAACCCAGGGAAGGTTGGATTCAGCTTTGAGGGGGACACCTGCACTCACCCTCTGCCCACAGGTGGTAGAGCAGTGGCCCAGGAGCACAGGGACTTGGGGAGGGTGTGAGGGAGCTGTGTTACAGACCTGATGCAGAGACACAGCTCAGCAGCCACAGCTGTGTGCTCAGCTCACCACAGGCCCTTATGTTAGAGAAAGGAGGGGTGACTTGCCAAAAAAATGGGTTGTTAGAGGGGAGGAAAGGTGAAGAGGAGGAAGAAGGACATCACTGTGTGTTAAGGCCTTGCAGGGAACATGCCCAGGTGGCCTTGGACACCAGCAGTGAGGTCCTTGTCACTCAGGGTGTGTCATGCAGGTGGGGAAGGTTTGGGGTTAGTTGGTGCACTCGGGTGGGCCAGGCTTTTCCTGAGCCTTGCAGCTGGAATCTGGGCAATGCACCCATTGCTTCCAGAGCTTCCTTTGCTCCCTGAGCCCTGGTTAGACTTTCACACCCTTCCATCACATACCGGACGTGTATCTCAATGCATGGTCAAAAATCCAGGTCCCTGAATATCGATTTCGTGTATATCCAACGGAAGAGTCACGTTCCACTGCTTTTCCATCTAAATTGTGCAAAAAGAAATCAGAAAAAAGCCCTTAAAGTGGATGCATTTCCAAGGAATAATGATGGCTGAAGCCTATTAAAAATTTCCAAGACCCATCTGTCCCTGTGGCTTCCTGACAAGATGTCAGAGGTCTCACAGAATTTCATAAGGCTTCTGCAGTACTATTTTACCTCACCAGGGAGAATCCAAAGTGCTCTTGAATTTCATATGCTGAGCAGCTCAGCAAGTGAAATATCAGCACCATGGCATGAACCCAATGTGTGCATGGGAGGTGGACAGAGAGGCTCAGAGCAGAAGGATTCTCTCTTCACTCTGTCTCAGAAACATTTCTGATTTAATGCATTACTGGAAAAGTCCTCTCCAAAATGTTCCTTGTAAAGCACCAGATTGGGAGAGCAGATTGAGAGCTTAAGGAGTCTTGCATCAAACTTCTCCTGATCAGCTCACAGATAACTCAGCCTTCCAGGACACAAATACTGATCTGATGCTATTCCCAACAGGAGGAAAAGATCCACATCTCATAAACAGTCTTCCCCTCTTTCTCCCCAGTTACAACAGAAGTGTAACTGGGAGAGAGCTTTGCTTTTCCTCTCCTCTCCAGACAGCTCCATGGGACTTCTGTGCCTGTCTGCCCTGACTTCCCTGCCCTGAGAAGGATCCACGTGCTGTGGCTCTTCAAGTGCCCCTGGCCTGAGGTCAGCACGTGAATCTTGCCAGAAGAAAGCAGTGAAGAACGGGGAATGTGGCACCCCTGAGCTGGGCAGGGCAGGAACCCCCACCCCAGGGCTGGGACACCTGGGGTACCCTGGGGGTGCAGGGGGTGCAGGGGACAGCTGCAGGGGGTGCAGCTGCTGGCTCCACAGCAGCTGCAGCTGACAGGAGCCAGCTGAGAGCCAACCTCTCCTCTTGGGATGCCAGAGAGGGACCCCACAGGACTGAAAGACTTCTGTGGAAAAGCAGCTGAAAGGAAAATGGCCCAAACCCACCAACAGCTCTTTGGCTGGGGACCGTGGCCACTGTCCCCAACCATCCCACCCAGTACAGCCCCTTCCATCCCCCACAGGGTTTGGGATGCTCCACACGGATGGAGGCAGAGTCTGGAGTGCTGGGAGAGACAGGAGCTAGTGCAAAGAGGAGGCAAAAAACACAAGGCCTGGTTTGATGTAAACACTGCAAGGGAATAGCAGCAACTGAGCTGGGAATCCCTTTTATAAATTGCTCCAAGTAACAACTAAAATATAAATAGAGCAGATGTGTGACTCAGAAAAGAGACGTAAATCTTGTAATGTGCATTTCAGCCACGTCCCAAGGCTGAGCCCTGCAGGAAAACTGTCACTTGGAGCCACGTGTGCCCCTCAGCACCCTGGTCCCAGCTCAGACACATCCCCCATTTAACCAACTGTCCCCAGCACCCCCTGAAGGGAGACAGGCTGGGGGTTGGCAATTCCACACAGGAGAGGGGTTCATTCACCCCTGAGTCACCACTTCATCAGGATTTGTTATTAAAACAACCATTGTCAACAGCTCCAGTCTCAGCTGCCCCGATGAAGGTGAATAAAATCCTGCCAAAGCCTCGCCTGTCTGCATGGAGGAGGGGATTCATGTACAGGGCAAGGACAGCTCCTGGAAGTGCTGGGAGCAGCAGCAGAGTCACAAAGCCTTTGCTCCAGAGGCAGGAGGCACCAGCAGGTCACACTTCTGGGCTGCTCCAGTGCAGCAGCTGGAATGGCCAGTGAGGAGCTGGAATGGCCAGTGAAGAGCTGGAATGGCCAGTGAAGAGTTGGAATGGCCAGTGAGGAGCTGGAATGGCCAGTGAAGAGCTGGAATGGCCAGTGAAGAGCTGGAATGGCCAGTGAGGAGCTGGAATGGCCAGTGAAGAGCTAGAATGGCCAGTGAAGAGCTGGAATGGCCAGTGAGGAGCTGGAATGGCCAGTGAAGAGCTGGAATGGCCAGTGAAGAGCTGGAATGGCCAGTGAGGAGCTGGAATGGCCAGTGAAGAGCTAGAATGGCCAGTGAAGAGCTGGAATGGCCAGTGAAGAGTTGGAATGGCCAGTGAGGAGTTGGAATGGCCAGTGGGGCAGCTGGAATGGCCAGTGGAGCAGCTGGAATGGCCAGTGAGGAGCTGGAATGGCCAGTGGGGCAGCTGGAATGGCCAGTGCAGCAGTGGCACATGAGGCACATTCCTGGTGTGAGGTCCCCTGGTGTGTGCAGAGATGGGCACAGTGCCTGTGTGTGATCCCATGGGGGACAGAGCTCAGCAAACACAAGGAGCTGGCACCACGGGCTGTGCACACAGCACAGGACCCGATGGCCAGACAGGAGCTATTCAGAGCCACCTCCCCAAAAACGAGGGTCATGTCAATGGCAGACAGGGGCACCTCCAGGGCTCTGTTCACAAAGGAATTGGCACCAACCCCATCACCTCCACACCAAACTGCCTTTAAGGAAGCCCAGGCTTTACAATGATCAATACAATGTGTGTTCCACTAGAAAATGCCCTTCCAGACAGAAGCTCTCCAGTTTATCTGGCTTTCAACCACCACTTGTGGCTGGTCAGTGATTCTGTCCCTCTCCCCACAGTGTCCATATATTGTGAGTGTCCCTTCACACCAGTGTGTCCCCAACACTCCACAGGGAATCACAGAATCACAGAACTGTGGAACAGCCTGAACTAAAAGGACCCCCCAGCCCAGCCCCTGTCCCTGCCCAGCCCCCCCAGCAGCCCCACCCTGTCCACCCCTGGCAGCGCTGCCCAAAGGCTCCTGGAGCTCTGGCAGCCTCGGGGCCGTGCCCATTCCCTGGGCAGCCTGGGCAGTGCCAGCACCCTCTGGGGGCAGAGCCTTGCCCTGAGCTCCAGCCTGAGCTGCCCTGGCCCAGCCCCAGCCGTGCCCTGGCTCCTGTCCCTGTCCCAGAGCAGAGATGGGAGCTGCAGCCCTGCTGAGCTCTGCCCTCTGCTCTGCTGCAGCTGAACAACCACAGAGCCCTCAGCTGCTCCTCACTGGCTTCCCCTCCAGTCCACCCAAGTCAGTCAGAGCCAAAGCCCCCTCCCCACTGCACAGCCAAGCTCAGCTGGAAACCAGCACTGCCAGGGGACACTGACTGCAGAGCAGCTGCTGCTGCCCAGCCAGGAGCTGTGGGGAGAAGAGCATCCTGTGGGACAGACACCCAAGCTGCAGATGCTTTCTCCAAGGGCTGGTGGCCTTGGCTGGAGGAGAAGCTCCCATTGCTGCCCATCAGTCATAGCCTCACCTCTCCCTCCCAGGGCAGCAGGGATGCTTTTCAGCTTTGCCCATGTAAGGATCAAGAGTTGCAGAGGCACAAAAACTCTGAAAATACACAGAGTATTTCTTCCAAATTGTCAAGTCTTCATGTCAGAAATAGTTCTGGACTTCTTAGGCTTTCCCTAGACCTGCACAGACAGCACTGACCTCCTGCCCTGCTGCTCTTAGTGGCTGTCCTGTGGTGGAAAGGAGGACAGGAAGAACAATGATTCTGAGACAATCACCAGCTAAGGACATCTCCTGGGTTTCCTTCCAGCAGTAATGATAATGTTGATAATGATCAACAAAACCCAGGAGGAAATCCAACACCAATTCCTCTTTTCTCTCCTCCTGCAGGACAAACCAACCCCAAGTGCAATGCTGGGCAGCTCAAATCAGCCTTCTCCTGAGTCCCTTAAAGGAAACCTGGTCCAACTGCTCTTCCTTCTTTTTATTAGCAAGTGTCTTTGGATCTCAGAGACACTGCAGGGACCTGTTCCAGGCCAGGGACAACAGAGACAGGGCAAGAGCTGTGCCTTGCCAGGTTCCCACAGGAAGCCCCTTCCCTGGAGCAGGAGGAGAGGACAGTTTGATGTTCACAGAAAAAAGCAAAAGCTTCTTCTCATCACAGCAGGAGGTGGGGTGGGGACAGGAAGCACTGTTTTGAACAGGGCACACCACAGCCAGGCCAGAGTCAAAAGTTTTCCCATAACTGAGAAGTGATCAGGAAAACAAACAAACAGCAACCTGTAAAACCTGCTCTTGAGCTCAGACTCATTTACTGAAAGCATCTTCATTCCTCAGAGCAACTTTCCTCAAAACATGTCATCAGGTTCTCAGGCTTCCCTTTCCAAGTTCCTCATCTATGTCAAACACACCCCCAGCCCTGGGCTCACCTGGTGCTGCAGGTGACTGATGGGCAAGTCCCTGAACACGCCAAAAGAAGAGAAGGAGCTTTTTGTTTCAGATCTTGGCTGAGCCTTTAGGGGCAGCCAGATGCAAACAGACACAGAAGGTCAATAATCCTGAGCCAGGACCCAAGGCTGATGTTCACCCTGGAGCTGAGTGTCCAGAGCCTCCCCTGTCCCCAGAGCCCCTGAGGGATGGTGGCCGTGCCTCACCGAGCGTCTGCTGGTTGCGCACGCCGCCGATGACCACGCAGATCTCCGCAGGCACGTCCCCCGGCCCGTCCTTGATGTTCTTCTTGGAATCTTTGGTGTCATCCTGCCAGATCACCTCCTCGATGTAGTCATCTGGTACCTCTGTCTTCACTTTCACCTCAGTCATCATTCCAGCCTCTTCACTGGGGGAGGACTGAGATGTCACTGAGTCGGAGCCCTCGGCTTTGGGGCTCTGCGGGCTCCTCTTCAAACACTCCCTGAGGGGGAAAGAGAGGAGACAATGTGAATCTTCAATGGCAAGTGCTCTTTTTGTCATCACCAGGACCTAATTCAAGGTGTTCTGGTTTATGCAGGTTATTTAAAAGAAGAATATTAATGTATGTCTGCCATACATGATAAGTAATTAAAATTTAACTGGACAAAAGCGGTAAAATTATTTGCTAGTAATGAAAATAACCTTAATCATCACAAACAACAGTAGTGCTCATAAACACACTGGATCCCTGAAGAAGAGCACAGAACTTGCCCTGGTTGCCAGCAGGCCATGGGCACAGCTCCAGCAGTTCTGCCTGCAGGTGTTTTGCCAACACAAGTCCATACACACAAAGCCATATTCTCTGTGGCACTTGGGGACATGGCCACTGCTGGACCTGGCACTGCTGAATTCAGTTTGACTTGATGATCTTCAAGATCTTTTCCAACCTAAATGAGTCTATGATTCCCTGACATTTTTAATTTGGAGCAATCTCCACCCTCCATCGCATCCTCTCTTTTATCCCTCCAAGCAACCTGACATGCCCTGGTATTCAGAGACTTTACTGAACATACACAGTGCTGATCAAAGGGGATCATCTAGAGGATGAGATGAGGATATTTAGGGAAACTACAATGTTACGGACAGATACAACTGTTTGGGATGACAGGGAGAGCCTGATAGAGGGGGAAAGGCAGAGGGGCTCCACTTTACTCAGACCAGGTTAAACAGCATGTGTTTTCATCTGGGAAAGAAGAGCTAGGAATTTCTGGGAGAAAACAATCTAAAATATTCAAAACCCTTTAAGAAAAGGAAACTGGACACCTCAAAGCTGTAAAACAACATCAAGAGGTGCTGTAGTAGCAAAAGACAAAGGGGGTGTGAGCCCACCAGAGAAGGATGTGGGAATAAGCCAGGGGAGCTCCTTTAGCACCACTCATTATGGACCCTCAATTTTTTATACAGGTTATTAATACACTCCACCATGCAATACAAAGATAAAATAATTGCTGGTTCAGTTTATGCAGAAATCAGAACTAAATATATAATGGCTCAGACTAGCCAGAAACAGAAACCACTGTGACATATTTAGAGTCATGTAAACACTGGGAACAGCCAAAGGCATTTGAAAATGTTTTAAGCAGAAGTAACAAAATAAAATGAAAAATAGGCTGAACTTATGGATGATCATTAGATTGTGCAACAGTGACAGCGAAAAAAATCCCATTGCTTGGAACATCATAAAGTTTGTCAGGACAAAATATGAATTACAGTGTTAGAAAATTACACAACTGTCAGTGGGTTCTGACACAGATCATGGAGCTTGCAGAGGAACCAGGATGGTGCAACTGGAGGTGAAAGTGTGGAGCTCCTGGGAGGTCAGGGATGAGGGGAGCAGAGGAACAGAGAGAACAATCCTCCAGTAATGACTGCCCAACCTCCCACACGGACATGGAGTCACTGTTTCAAACTGGGTCAGGCACATCCTATTGCCAGAGATTTTATTATTCATCCCTTCATTCTCATTATGGAATGAAATGTACAATTAATAGCCCCAAACAGAGAGAATTAGCCTTGACCTGCCTTCCCACTCATTTCCTGCCTTCTCACATATACTCCTCCCTGCCATGCTCCCAAAATCATACAGGGCTCTTACAAGTGAGAAAGATGGATTGAGACAGAGAAGATGTGGTTGAGATCCAGACAGGCTTTATGGTAATATTATTGGGTGAGGCTCATCCATCTCAGCCACCAGGGCATGGCTCAGCACCCTTCCAAGGGAAGGCAGTGAGCACAGAATACTCAGGGATCAGCAAAGAGTGGGACTGATTGCAGATCAATCAAACCCAGAGGGTGTGAAATGCAAAACACTGATAAAGGCAAGTAAGGTAGATAGGAAAATGTTTCCTTCCTCATTGAGGGCTGTGGAGGAAGATCAAAGTCAGGGCAGTTCCCTGGGAGGCTGGAGGTGGGAGAGGCAGTGAGAGCTCAGTTATCCATGGCAAAGCCAGGGAACTGCCAGTCCTGGGCAAAGCAACAGGAAAATCCAGGCACGAGCCAAGTGATCTGGGATTAGAGCTGATACCAGTGAGACTGAGGCTAGAGCCTTCTGAGGAGATTATAAAAGGGGCAAGAATACAAGGACTTTCTGATGATGCCAGCTTTGCATGGGTCACATTCAAACACAAACCAAATCAGCAACAGGCCCCGTGCTGCAAGGCAAAGCTGTTCTCCATGTGCACTGCTCCTGAACAGAGAGGAATTTCCACAGGACTCCTGGAATGGTTTATGTGGGACAGATTTATTCATGCTCTGGAATTAAATTAAACATCACTGTTGCTAAAAATGATGGGTGGAGCCATGGATGGTTGGAGAGCAAAGCTGTGAACAGGACACTGCACCAGTGGATCCCTCTCTCCACAGCTGGCTGTGCCCAAGACCAGAGGCTGCAGCACAGACAAGTGCAGGACTGGGGATGCACCCACATGGTACTGCAGCCACAGAGAGCCACGCTCTGAGCTGAAGGAATGACCACATTTTCAGTTCAGGTGCCCAAGATGGAAGGAGGAGATAATTTTCTCCCCGTCTGAAGCTGTGGTGAAGACACTCCCCCGTGTGCTGCAGACACAGTGAGCAGCTTCAGGTTTCAGAGGTGATCAGGAAAGCTGAAGAGGTTCCAAAATGCAGCACTGAACTGGTTCAAGACTGGGAAAAGACACTTTATGACTCTGTGAGACCAAACTGCTCCAGTCTGTTTCTCACACCAAAAGGAAGACTAGAAGATGATGTGATTGCATTGATCATCATCTTCATGGGGAGAAAATACTGTCTTGTCTTGGCAGGGAAGAGTTGAGTGCAAGGTCATTGATGGAAGCTGGAACCAGCTGAAATGAGGTCCCTGGGCTCAGTACAGATGTGCACTGGCCACACTTAGTCTGGAGCTGAGGAATATATAAATTATCAGACCAGACCAATGGACCCTCAGAACCTTTTCCCCTCATGCATGCTGATTTTGTGGATCCAGCTCTGCCAAGAAAGGAACTTCCCAGCTGGAATGTCTGCTCCTGGGTGGGACACAACCCTGCAAATATTAACTGACAGCAATTCATTGCCCCATATGTTCTAACTCTGAGCAGGTGCCTGATGTGCAGAAGGACACAGTCCCAAATACTTCAGCAACTTTCTTCTACATGATTCCACGGCTCACAAGCCATGAGAGGAGCCTGCTGTTCCCCTCAAACACAAGTGAAACCATAAAACCAGCAGCACTGACACTCCTGGGAGCAGGGCTGAGCTCTCCAAAAGCCACTTGGTGCCTTAGCTGGGGCTGCAGAGCTTTGCAGAGGAGGAGGTGGAGGCAGCAGTGGTGGAATCCAGCTCTCCCAGCAGGAGCAAGCATCACTTTCTTGTGGTCCCTGTGAAATCCAGGTCGTGCTTCTGTGGCTAGAGCAGAACCAGGACCAGTCAGCTGTTCCCAAGGGTCCAGAGGAGAGCTGGGCACAGGGAATGACCCTCATGGCACAGCAGGTCAAGTCTGAAGCCTCCTGGTTAGGCTGGGGAAAGAGTACCAAGATCCCAGAGCAAAGCAGGAAGGAAAAGGAAGCCACTGACACTGGAAAGCTTCAGGCAGGATGGAAAGGGGGACGTGCACAGCCCCAGCAGAACCAGTTTTCCTTGGAAGAGAGGAGTCATCACAGCCTCCACCACACACAGCCTCGACCCACACATTCACTGAGCCAGGGGAGGTCACCCAGGGAAGCTTCAAGCTTCATTTCATTCCCACTCCTTTGGTCCTTCCATCAGCCCTTGCAAGCCCATGATGCTGCACTTGCTCAGTGCTGTGCTGAATTTTTGCCTCCCCTGCTACTGAGCAGCACAAACAACCTCCACTTGGAGATGAGGATAAAGCAGCAGGAGATCTGGGACATTCTTGTTCTCCAGAAATTCCCCAGGAGACACAGGGGGGACAGGGAACATCCTGCCTGGGGGAGGGAAGACATCAGGCCTGGTTCTGCCACTCCTGTGCCATGGCAGCTCTTCTGGAGCTGAGGCACAACTGCTGGGAAGGCTCAGAAAGGGGATGAGCAACACCAGGAGTGAATTTTCAGCTCTGCAGCTCCCAAGGCTCCAAGCAGGTGTCACAGGTTTGGGTGAGGGCACGGAGAGAAAAGGACTCAAAGCTTTCAGGGTGTCAGGAAAGTTCAGTGTCAGTCCTGGGGGCAGAAGGACTCCCCAGTGTGACCCAGGCAGTGCCCACGTCCCTGTGCCCACACAGAGACCTGTGCCAGCTGCCAGATCCCTGCAGGGCACTGCTGGGGCCACACTGGGACCAGTGATGGCCAGAGCCTCCACTTGGTGGAGACAGCAGCGCACAGGAGCCAAGGGAGAACCTGCCAGAGTCACCTCCCACTGCCAGGTCCCCAGGCCACCCTCCCCTGGTGGCTCTGAGCTCCGTCCCCAGCCTCATGCCACCACCCTTCTGCAGGAAACAATGCAGGTTTAGTGTTCAGTGTGGCCTTCCACCTCCCTCTGCAGGTCCAGCCTGCATTCAAACATCCATGGGCTGCTGTTCCCTGGGAAGAGAATATTCCTGCTCTCCAAACACAGCACAAAAACTGCTCAGAGCCATCAGAGGAGCAGAGCGCCCAGGCAGAGCTGGCTTAAACCCCATCTCCTTCCACAGGGGGGATCGAACTTCTTCTCCAGGGCTTTGCCCCTTCCTGGGAAATACCAACCTCCTTCACTGTTCCATGCCCTGTTTTTACTGAGCTGTGGGCCCTGGCAATCCAAGAGGCTCTTCCATGCTGAGCAGAAGAGGCAGAAGCCTTGGGAGCCCACAGTTCTCACTCTGTGCCTGGCTGCTCCTACAGGTGAGGTCCTGTTCCACTTCCCAGAACAGACTCTGTGATTTCCAACATGAAAGAGGCAAACAGACATTGCACTTGCATGTATCACTGCTCTCACTAAGTAGGCCACACAGCCAATTACTGTAATACCAGCTCT